TAAGTATATATATATTTTTTATTTATTGCAAACTAAACTAAAATAGTTTTTACCATTTTTACTTATTCTTAAGAGCGGATAGATGGTTGGCACGCATGTGCGGACATACCAACCACTTCACTACACTTGAATACATAAATATTTATTAAAAAATATAAATTGTATAATAATTAAAATAAAATTAGACTGTAATCAATCTTAATAAAATACATGCACGAAAAAGTTCGCATGTGACTTCAACTAATGTACAATTAATATTTATGTATGTACGCATATTTGTAAAAAAAATGAAATATGGCTCTTACTTGTTAAAAAGTTTTTAAGTGGCTTTGTAAAAAAAAGTTCGAGAAATTTATTTTTATATACTTCTATTTTTATTTCTTATTCATATTGTTTCATCTTATTATAATTTATTCTTTCGTTTGATTATTTTTCATTTTATTTATGTTCTCAAAATTTTGATATACAATGAAAATAAATTTATATATATATATATCAATATGATGTAAAATTTATTTTTATTTAAAATATGATAAGAGATAAGATGAGATGGTAACATAAGTTATGTATATTTTAGAAAATAACAATAAAAAGATGATAAAAGTTATAGAAAATATATGGTCCTATTAATATTATAAAATAATAATTAGCATATATTTTATTCATTTAGTAAATATTGGTTTGAAAAGAAAATTTATTTAAAATTACGTTTTTGAAAAAAAAACTTCAATAAAAGTTGATTATTCTTATTATTTTTAACATTTTATTCTTTAAATTATTTTTATCAAGATTGTATTTTATTTAAAATTTTATTATTTAATAATTTGTTTATTTAAAATTTCTTTAGATGTTATTAATATATTTTTTTAAATTAATAACTTTCCGAAATAAAAATATATCATACTTCAAGTCTTATTAATAATAGAATTTTTATTATTATATTGGATAATTTAGTATTTTTTTGGTTTTTATATGAAATTATAATATATATATATATATTGTTGAACAAATTTCGTAATTATATTTTATGAAATTATGAATATATGTAAAAATTTGAAATTGTAATAAATTTTATTTTCTGTTAATTTAAATTTGTTAATTTTAGTGTTATAAATATAATATAGTTTATTTATATTTCAATTCCACAACTCTTATAATTTTAATTCAACCAATCAAAACATTTTGTTTATTTTAGGAAGTTTGACATGTCACATTTATATGTCATCAATTAAAAGCACTAACTTTGGTTGTAGTGTTGACAAATCAGCTATTTTCAATAATGTTACTTGTCAAATAATATATAGTGGATTAATTTAAAAGTCAGCCGAAGAGTAAAGGGTAAACAGGTACTAACTAAACCCCATAACAATCCTCATACTGGATGATATTGATATATGATCTTAGTACAAAACCAAAATCATCAATCTTAGTAGGGGTTATTGGTTCTTGTATTTTGGTGGATTTATAAATCTTCTTTGGATTTGATAAATTTATTGATTTCAAAATCAGCAAAATAGAAAAAAAAAAAATCTACTCAAATACCAAGGTTATACCTTGTATTTGGGTCTTTGTATTTTAGTCATGAAAATCTTTCCAAATCCATTCAAATTCAATTAAAACTCAAATCCTTGTAATATTTAGATTCTAAAATGATAGAACCAATAACACTGTATTTCATTATGGATTTTAAAATCATAGAACCAATAACACTGTATTTCAATATAAATTTTAAAATACAAGAACCAATAACACTGAATTTGGTTTGGATTCTCAAATCTATTAAAATACAAGAACAAATAACACCTCCTTAAATTAACATTCGGCAAATCAGATGATCAATCAAAAATGGAAGAAATTATGATCTCTACATACCAAAAGAGACCACAACGATGGAGGGATTTCACTTCCAAGCAAGCCACGTCACACCTCGGGAGACTATCCTCTTCGAAACCAAAGCCTTCATTGGCCAATTCATCTCCTTCACCAGCAACTCAGTCTTGTTTCTTCACCGACTTTTCAGAGTATCCAATGCACTGAAGAAAGCGTTTGAACTCAGAGCAGATCTTATCTTCGAGTTGTCTGAGTGTTTCAGTTGTCTGACTTATATTCTCTTCAGAGTGTAACAGAGAGAGAGAGTGGGCACTTCCTGAACCTTTCATATAACTTCAATACTCGAAAGGTGCCGAATCAAGCAATTTCTGTAGATCGAGCGACTTTGTTCCATGCGTTTAGATATAAGAGAGTATTGTTCGAGAAAACTAATCCTCCAGGCTTCGAAGAGAAAATCTCAAAAAGGATATTTTCTTATATAAAATATAAAAAATATTCCGCTGCCAGGGTCGAGCCCAGATTTCTGTTACAAATAGTTGCTCCAACACTGACTTAGTGAGAGCAACTGGGTCTGAAATTAACCTTTGAGCTACAACTGATCTGTTTGCCATTGATTATGTAAAAGTAGAGATGTCAACAGGCTAGTCCGTGCCCGCATGGACTTATCTGCAGCGGGTTTGAAATTCTGTGTGTCAATGTGGTCGGTCCGTCGCAGATTGCAGACAACTGATCCTAGGCCCAAGCTCGCCCCACCCTTATTTAGCGGGTTTTCGGACTGGCCCGCGGGTTACATCAAATACAAATACAGGAAAACCAATCCGATTTTGTAACTTCAATCATGAAAACCTGATTGACTCTAGCGAGTCTCTTACTATGTCTCATTCCGACTTTGTAACTATGGCTTATAGATCACGTTTTAAGTTTATAGGTCTAATTCTTTTTTTTTTATCAATTTGATACGTATGAGGCTAGAAGAAGCGTAAACAAAAAGAGATATAATATATGTATGCATATGTATATCTATTTCAGTGTTCATCATAACTTATCCATTTCAGCATATCAAAAAACTTTAGAGTGTATTGATATGTCTCCTATCCGTCCATTGGGTATATAAAAAAAACAAATTGTGTTTTATTTGTTAAAGTGCCTCAAATTCTTGTCCATCGTCTCTAGTTTATTGTCTTTTGTCCACTAGCTCTACTCCATCGTATACTTTTATCTCATGTCCATTGTCCATCGTCGCGAATGAGTGGACACCAACGCGTGGACACCAAAGCTGGACATAATGATGGTCCTGCTACACCAGCAACAACATGAGGCATCACCAACCACCTTAATCGGAGTCTTCTCCTCCATCAATTTTTTTCTGTCTGGAATCAGAGTCGTCTTCCTCTGTCCGGAGTTGCCTCTGTCGTGTTGTTGGAGCTAGCCGACGAAATTGAAGACGCTGAATCAACGGAAGATGGTGCAGATCTGATGGAAGGAGCGGAGCCACCGAAAATCGGTGAGAGAGAAAAAGGTACATCAAGAGATATACAGTGTTGAGGAAGTGGTAAGGTGAGGTCTCAGATGGCGGCAAGAAAAACTCTTAACCTAATTAATTTCATTATCTGAACAAAAAACCATAATAAGTAGTTAAAGTGACACAAATAAATTCAAAGCGTCTAAATTGCTGAAAGTGTCTCTTTTGTAAACAAAAGTGACAAAAATCCTCTAACTATAAATAACTCAAAGAGATGATACATCATACACCAAAGAAACAAGATATTGTGAAATAGACTAATGTGTATACTCTCATTCTTTCCTCTTTGTCAGATTAGTTGATTTTGCGCTGAGCTTGGAACATAATTAGGGCACACGCACCTACAGCGAGATTCAAGTCCAAGATCAACTTCTTTGAAGTATACATCCTCCCCAACGATGTAACCATAGGTCTTGTCGGCCAGTTCTTTTGTAATGACTGCGTGAAAAAGCATTGCCACTTTCTTGTCCTCGTCAACGAAGAAACTCCAAGATTGAACCCACAATCTACTTATTCTTTCCATATCAAAGGCTAAGAACTTGTTCCACGAAACCGACTCCGCGTTAGGCTCAGTCTTAGTCGTAATCCATATCTCCATCTTATATTCGCCTGTGTGAATATACAACACTGCAAGCTTCTCTTCTCTAACAGTCGATAGAGACACACCATCCCTATGATTTGGGCGAAAGGGTAGATGCAGAGGCGGTAAAAATCCCTCTCGTGTAAAATCAAAACATAGTAAAACCTTATCATAATCATGGATTACTCTCACATTAGCAAAAACGTAAATGTTTCCTTTCAATGACACGCCTCCTTCATGATAACAACCTATAGTCAACGAGGCTCTAAGAACCCTCCATGTATTAGATTTAAAATCGTATATTTCATGTTTCATATCGCCCAGATCATAGAAACACCTCAGGATTTTGTGGTTGCTTTCGCGGTCGTATCCGAGACAACACATATTTGATAAAATATTTAATCTCTGGAAAGTGATGCTTGGTTTGATCCACCTGGTTTGACACAAATACGGGTTCCAAACCACGAGCCTCCCAGTGTTGTTGTTGTTGTTGTCCTCCTTGGGAAAGCATAACAATAATAAGCCGTTACAGTGATAGGCATCAGTTATCTTGACGTGTTTAAGTTCACCTATACGCTTTATAGAGTTGATTCCATGGAGACTTGCACTCATTAAACAAACCTTAGAAGCAATCTTCATGATCGCTGCTTCACCACGATGCTTCTTTGTAAAGCTCGGATCTTTGGACATACCGTTCCATCGTTTGCTAGTGGTTCTCACTGCTCTCAGAGATGTTATCGGAACCCTAGAGAGTATCTCCTCTACCAAATCATGCGGAAGATCGGATATCATCGTCATTAGGGTTTTCAAGTTTCTGACGTTGTAATAGAAATTTAGGGTTTCTTAATTGTCACGCTTGCCCACTCTTTTAAATATATAGAGATGTGGTTTCTAAACTTATTCAGAAAAAAGAAAAAAGAAAATAAAAGATTAGATTTTGTATTGCTCTGTTTCCAAAACAGAGCAATCACATTATAAACATCTTTGCCATAATCCAATATCAACAAGAGAAAACACAAAAGATACATTTATGTAATTTAGAGGAACAAAGAAAGAGTTCAGAGTGGTTTAATCATCTACAGAAGTTCCATTGGTGAAAATAGACATCAATTCAAGGACAAGCTGCTTGTCATCATGGTTCCTCACATACTTGACTAAGAAAGCTTCATCTGTAATCGGCAACACAACATACAATGGAGGAAGTTCACTTCCGTTTCCGAGCAATCCTCTGGACATGAGAGCTTTGATTACATTACACCTTGGTACAATCCTCTTCTCCAGGCTGTAGTTATAAACTGCAGGGTTCGAACCCAGTGCCTTTATCGGCCAATTCATCTTCTTCACCAGAAACTCAGTCTTGTTCTTCACCGACTCTGCAGAGTATCCAATGTACTGAGGATTGCGCTTTAACATCATCGCAAACTCGTCTCTGCTGAATCCTAGAGACATAAATGTTTCAAGAGAGCTCTCTATCCTCTGCTCTGAAGAACCAATGAATCGTGGAAACTTCTTGAACATCGAGAGGATTTCGTCTTTGAGTAGTCCGCACTTTTTCAGGGTTTCAAACGTCTGAGTTATCTTCTTCTCAGAGAATTTCAGAGTGAAAGGATACTTCTTGAACATCTCCCATACATCTCCCACAGCCAAGCCTAGCCTTTTATAGACATCGACTTTTTCTTCAATCGTTTTGTCACTCCTTTGGTAAAAAACGCTGAGAGCTTGCACAAACTTTGAGCTCGTTGGATCAAAGCCCTTGTCAACCACTTTCTTGAGAGAAGCTTCAAATCTTTCATTGCCACAGACAGGTGAGTCATTGGTGATAAGCAAGTGGAATAGCCTCTCTTGGGGCACACCTAACTCTCTCAAAACCAATATGTTTCTGATTTTGTTCTCTTGCTTACTGCTTTGTGGCAAAGAATGACATAACTTTTCCAACTTGGAGCTCTTATCGGCTTCTATAACATCTCTCACGAAATCATAGTATTCACTTATGGTTTTTTCCCCTTTCTTTCCCAAGATTTTAGGAACTGTGGAGACAACCTTAGTGAACTCAGAGCTTGAAGCTCCTTTCATTGACTGCAGAAACTTAAGCTTGGGACCAAGTGATTTCTCAGCATCTAACATAAGCAGCCCTGGATAACTCGTAACGATGTCGGAGATCTGTGAATCTGTGAACCCATGACTTCTAAAAAGACCCATAACGGAATCAGGATTGCCCTTTTCCTCAAAGCTGACTTTCCTCGAGATTGATTCTGCGAGTTTTGTAGTGAGACCCAGTGAATCAACCAGGTAAGAGACTGTAAAAGTCTTCCCTTTTCGACCATCTTTATGGCTCACATTGCAGCAGCAGTAGAAGCAGAGGAGAAGGAATTGGAGAATACATTTTGCACAAGCTTCACTGAAACACTTAAAACTACACCATTTCTGTAACCCGATACACATTTTTCCATGGTGTATCAGAGAATACATGATGGCAAGGCAATGAAATTACCGAAAGGAGGTGAAGATAAGCAGAGAATACAAGATGTGTTTCCTGATTTTGTTCTCTAGATTACCCTGTGGCAAAGAAAGACACAAGCTTTCGTAGTTTGAACACTTATCGGCTTCAATAACATCTCTCACGAAATCATAGTATTCACTAATGCTTTTTTCCCCTTTCCTTCCCAAGATTTTAGGAACTGTGGAGACAACCTCAGAGAACTCAGAGCTCGAAGCTCCTTTCATTGACTGCAGAAACTTAAGCTTGGGACCAAGTGATTTCTCAGCATCTAACATAAGCAGTCCTGGGTAACTCGTAACGATGGTGGAGACCTGAGAATCTGTGAAGCCATGACTTATAAGAAGATTCAGAACGGAATCTGGATTGCTCTTTTCCTCAAAGCTGACTTTCCTCGAGATTGATTCTGCGAGTTTTCTACTTAAACCCAGTGAATCAACGAGGTAAGAGACTGTAAAAGTCTTCCCTTTTCGACCATCTTGAAGGCTCACATCTGCAGAAGCACTAGTAGAGAAGAAGGAACTGGAAAAAGCAGACCCATTTTGGAAAATGTTCTCTGCGAATCTCAAATTAAGGCATTTCTGCAACTCGATAGACCTTCTTCTTCCATGGAGTATCAGAGAATGCATGACAGAGGAAATGCGATTACCGTAAAGAGCAGAAGAGAAGGAAGAACGATACCTGAAAAAAAAAACCAGAGTGTCGAAGCGATTGAGATCGATCGAACTATTTATTCAGAGGAGAAGAAGAAAATTCTGACTCATCCCCAAAAATCGCAGGGAAGAGGGAAACGAATATAGGGTTTATGAGTTTTCCGGCTGCTGATTTGATAATAATATTAATTATACAGAGATCCGTGATAGCTTGGGTTCGAACCACTTACCTCCCACATACATTTTTGTGGGCACGCACGCACGCATTATTTTCGATTTAAAAAGGAGGGTAAATTAATTTCTTAATAATTTATTCTTTTTGGTTTAATTTGACTATTTTAGCACAACCAGGTTCTTTCTTTCATACATTACAAACAAACCCAATAAATTTACACACCAACTATTATAAAGTAAACATCAAAGGCTTGAAATTCCTTACACTCAAATGCCAATGAACTAAAAGACATTGTTTGTAACAGTAAACCAGGAACACCATGACCAAGATACACCAAACCAAGAAATCAAATCAAAATTTGGGATGAGGTCAACGAAATTATATGGTTTATGAGTAAATTCAAAACCTAATGTCTCAGTTTATGACTAGTCTTGTTGAAAGAGGGTGATAACAAAAAAAACAAAAAAAAAAGATGAAAAGAGAGATGATACACCATACAAACAAGGTATTGTAAGATAGACTTAATGCACATGAGCTTTGAACATAATAAGAGCACAAGCTCTTCCAGCGAGATTCAACTACTCTGCCCCAACCATACAACCAAAAGTCTTGTTGGTCTATTGAAATGTGCGTATATCACAAAGCATTGCCACTTTCTTCTCCTCGTCAACGAAAATACTTTCTCAGATTGAATCCGAAGGCTAGTGATTATAGATACAGATCAATCTAAGATTAGAGAAGATTCACCATTAGTCTAAAAACTAACAGATAACAAAGCCCTTAAACGTTGCTTATTGCTCTAGGATGAGCTCTGTTCAAGATAGCCATTAGCTCAGGCACAAGCTCCTTGTCATCGTGCTTCGTCACATACCTTTTTAAGAACATCTGATCAGTACACGACAAAACAGACGACATTGGAGGAAGTTCACTTCCGATCAATCCTTTTGACATGAGAGCTTTGATTACATTACACCTTGGTAGTGAAGAACATTCCAAGGCAGAAGCTCGCGAGGCACAAGAACAATGTCAAGTTTCTCGAAAGGACATTTCTTGGAGAAAAATAGTGATCCCCAATACCTCCTCCTCTGCTCTTAAATGGCATTTGGTGGTTGTTGCTATAAAACCTTGTATTTATTAATCAAAGAAAGAGAAGACAAGGGAGTCAAAGATTAAACTTTCTTTCTTTTATTGTTTCTGCTGAGATTGATTCAGTCTATACACCGCATAGAATAAGAGCAGCATTACCAACGACTTCACTTTCTTTGATTATAGAATAGAAACAAAAAGTAACGTTTAAGAGTAACGTTTTTTGTTATTAATTATAGATTCTGGGAGTTACGAATATCAAAGTAATGTACTAAAAACTAAAAACTGATGATGATTGTTAGGCTACAAACGTAATGATAACTTCAGTTTCAAGAGCTCCGGTGATATCAGTGAGTGAAAATACGATCTCATACGTGTATAACTTTATTTATTTGTAGACAGCGGATTTGTATTGCATACGTAACAATAGTGGGCCTTAACTGGGTTATCGAAAGGAACAAAAGAACAAGACTGGGCCTTATTTGGGTTACAACAACAATAGTGGGCCTTATATGGGTTTGGATTTTTAAGAAACCGATGTAACAACGCAATAGCAGATCCATTTTCCTTTCGATTAAAATAAAAATTCCGCTGCCGGGATTCGAACCCGGAATCGGTCGAGCGCACACGTGTGTGTGTATATTGCGCCCAACAATTCTACAAATTTAGCCTTAGTGCTACAGCGGATTTAATTGTCATTTGTTATGTAAACCTTTATTTATATATTATATATAAATTTAAAAAGGCTTTTACACTCTTTATCTTAGATTAATCCAGGCCTAAAAGTATTCTGTATTATTTATAAACATGGACTTCTAAAAGAATTCGGTAATTATTAGAAAATTTAGGAACCACATTCACAAATTTTAAATTCTAGATAGAATCTCAAACTAGTCTCCATGAGTTGTTTGAAACTAAGATTATGTCTCAATCTCAAAGAAGAAGCATCTAATCCCATAAATTTGAACTTGTTTCCTGAAAACAGGAGCCATGTTCACGAAGCAGTTCCATCATTCCACAACTTACCAATTAAAACTAAATATTAGCATTATTCAGCAGCTTAGCAATCAAAACTAACAATTAGCATTTCAAAATGAGTTTTTTGTTAATTAAGGATATTTATACACTAAAAAACTGATGAATATTTTGGCCACAAACTTGATGATTAATTTATTGATTATCTCAGCATTCCCAGCACACGAAAAGAGTTTCACAAATTAGGATTTTTTTTATATATTTCCCCATCAAGAGATACATGTCACCATGAATCTAAAACTAAAAAAAAAACAAAACCTACGTTGCTCATTGTTCTAGGCCTGCCTTATGAACTCTTGTGAAGATGGCCATCAGCTCAGGCACAAGCTCCTTGTCATCGTGCTTCCTCACATACCTGTTTAAGAACGTCTCATCAGTACACGCCAAAACAGACGACATTGGAGTGAGTTCACTTCCGTCACCGAGCAATCCTTTGGACATGAGAGCTTCGATTACATTACACCTCCGTACAATCCTCTTCTCCATGCTGTATCCAAACACCTGAGGATGCGAAACCAGGGACTTTAGTGGCCATTTCATCTTCTTCACCAGAAACCCGGTCTTCTTCTTCACCGTCTCTGCAGAAAAGCCAATGCACTGAGGATAGCGCTTGATCATCAACGCAAACTCGTCTCTGCTGAATCCTAGACCCATAAGCGTTTCAACAGAGCTCACTATGTTCTCCTCTGAAATGCGTATGAACTGAGGATTCCTCTTCAACAATGACATGACCTCGTTCTCGAGCAGACCACACCTCTTGAGGGTTTCAAACGTCTGAGTTATCTTCTTCTCCGAGAACTTCAGAGCGAAAGGCCATTTCTTGAACATCTCCCATACATCTCCCGCAGCGAAGCCTAGCCTTTTATAGACATCGACTTTTTCTTCAATCGTTTTGTCACTGCTTCGGTACACAACGTGGAGAGCTTGCACAAACTTTGAGCTCGTTGGATCAAAGCCCTTGTCAACCACTTTCTTGAGAGAAGCTTCAAACCTCTCTTTGCCACAGACAGGTTGGTAATTTGAGATGAGCAAGTGGAACAACAAACGCTGAGGCACGCCTAAGTCTCTCAAAGCCAACACATTTCGGATTTTGTTCTCTAGATTACCCTGTGGCAAAGAAAGACACAAGCTTTCGTAGTTTGAACACTTATCGGCTTCAATAACATCTCTCACGAAATCATAGTATTCACTTATGGATTTTTCCCCTTTCTTTCCCAAGATTTTAGGAACTGTAGAGACAACCTCTGTGAACTCAGAGCTCGAAGCTCCTTTCATTGACTGCAGAAACTTAAGCTTGGGACCAAGTGATTTCTCAGCATCTAACATAAGCAGCCCTGGGTAACTCGTGACGATGGTGGAGACCTGAGAATCTGTGAAGCCATAACCATTAAGAAGATTCAGAACGGAATCTGGATTGCCCTTTTTCTCAAAGCTGACTTTCCTCGAGATTGATTCCGCGAGTTTTGTAGTTAGACCCAATGTATCAACGAGGTAAGAGACAGTGAAAGTCTTCCCTTTTCGACCATCCTTATGGCTTACAGTAGAAGCAGAGGAGATGGAAATGGAAAAAACAGAGAATACATTTTGCGCAAGCTTCACTGAAACACTCCAATTACACCATTTCTGTAACTCGATAGACCTTTTTCCATGGAGTATTAGAGAGTACATATGATGGCAAGGCAATGAAGTTTACCGAAAGGAGGAGAAGAGAAGGAAGGAGAGAAGCATAGAATTCCACAGAGTAGAGGCTTCGATGCTCAATCTCATTTCGAGAAAACGATTCGCTCAGGCTTCGTTGCCAAAATCTCAAAACTTCTCAAAAATCTCAAGAATCACTCAATGAAATGGTCGACTGTTCAAGAATCTGCATCTCTCCGTTCACGACTTCATTTCAATCGCAGAGATTTGGGGAAGGAAGAAAACGGATTTTTAGGGTTTAGTTCTTGACCCGGTTAAGGACAAATTGGTTTACTACTGGTTCACTATTTGGTACACTGTTTCGTTCATTAAACTACTATTGGTTAGGTGTTTGATTGGTTATGAAAAATTAATCAACTTTCTTAGCCGTTGAATAGTTTATTTCACGGCAAGAACAGTGGGTTGTTCTTGATCTGTCTTCCTCTTATCATATTGATTGGTCACAGAGAGAAACTGAGATTACAGAAAATTGTAGATACAGGTCAAACTGAGATTAGAGAAGATTCACCATTAGTCTTAAACGTTGCTCATTGCTCTAGGATGAGCTCTGGTCAAGATAGCCATTAGCTCAGACACAAGCTCCTTGTCATCGTGCTTCATCAGATACCTTTTTAAGAACATCTGATCAGTACACGACAAAACAGACGACATTGGAGGAAGTTCACTTCCGAGCAATCTTTTAGACATGAGAGCCTTGATTACAGTACACCTCGGTACAATCCTCTTCTCAAAGCTGTATCCAAATACATGAGGGAACACAATCACGGCCTTTTTTAGCCAATTCATCTCCTTAACCAGAAACTCAGTCTTGTTCTTCACAGTCTCTGCAGATGATCCAATGCATGGAGGAAAGCGTTTGAAGACAGAGCAGATCTCGTCTTCGAGCAGTCCAAACATCTTGAAGGTTTCAAATGACTGAGTTATCTTCTCCTCAGAGAGTGTCAGAGAGAAGGGACACTTCTTGAACATCTCCCATACATCTCCCTCATCAAAGCCTAACCTTTTGTAGAGATTCACTCTCTCTTGTATCGTTTTCTCCTTCCATGAGTAAAAAACGCACAGAGCTTGGACAAACTTTAAGGTGGTTGGATCAAAACCAATCTCAACGACCTTCTTGAGCGACTCTTCGAATTTTTCTTTTCCGTTAACAAGCTGCGCATCGGATGTAAGCAAGGAGAACAAGAGCTCCTGAGGCACGCCAAGATTTCTCAAAACCGATATGTTTCTGAGTTTGTTCTCATGCTTAGTACCTTGTGGCCAAGAATGGCATAGCTTTTCCAACTTGGAAGTCTTATCAGCTTCTATGATGTCTTTGACGAAGTCGTAGTATACGCTGATAGCTTTGTTCTTTTTGATTCCCAAGATTTTGAGAACTTTCGAAAGAACCTCAGTGAGCTCAGAGCTTGAAGCTCCTCTGGATTGCAGAAACTGAAGCTTGGGAGCAAGAGATGTCTCAGCATCTTCTACAAGCAGCCGTGGATAGCTCTTGATGATGGTGGAGATCTGAGAATCTGTGAAGCCATGGCTTTTAAGAAGACCCAGAACGGAATCAGGATTATTACACATTCCCTCGGAGCTGATTTTCGTTGAGATCGATTCTGCGAGTTTTGTGGTTAAACCCAATGAATCAACGAGATAAGAGACTGTAAAAGTCTTCCCTTTTCGAAGATCTTGAGGAGGACACACATCAGCAATAACAGAGGAGGACGAACTGGAAAAAGCCGATGATGCATTTTGAAAAAGCTTCACTAGAATTCTCGAATTACGCCATTTCTGCAACTCGCTAGACTTTTTGCCATGGAGTATCAGTGAGAACATGACAATGCAAAATATGATATCACCGAAAGGAACAGAGGAGAAGAAGAACCAGAAAAATTTCTACAGAAGAAATCGAAATTTGGGGGTTTTAGTTGATAAAATAAACCCTAAATTTCGTTTTACGATTCTCATGACCCCAAATATCATAATAGTGGGCCTTATTTGGGCCTATGGGTTTCGTTCACTTCCGATAAGTTCTAAGGTTTAGTTCTGCTTTAATATGTATATAATACAAAAAATTATTCCGCTGCCAGGGTCCGAACCCGGATTACTGGAGAACAAGCAGTGATCAAAGTGTTATCGAAATTTCAGAAATTAGCCTTTGTGCTACAGCGGATCCAATTGCCATTTGCTATGTAAAACTTTATTTTTTTACTCTATGTAAATGTTAATAAACCTTTACACTCTTTATTTACACCTTCCAACTTAAAAATAGCTATATATTTATTATCAAATATCTATTATTTAAAAATATTGATTATTAATTCTTATAAACAGCTTCAATGCGTAGACAGAGCTTCTACAAAATCTAAAGCGGTTGGATCAAAGCTTATGTGTTTAACCTTGTCGATCGAGGGATTCTTCAAATCTTCTCAAAACCAATATGTTTTGATACTATTCTCTAGCTTATGCAATGAGAAAGATTGACATGAATATCATCTATTATAATGTCATAGAATCCAATGGTAATTATGTTTTTCTTGAGTTCCAAGATTTTTGGAACTTTAGAAATAATCTCAGTGATCTCAGAGCTTGAAGCTCCATTTGATTTCAGAAAAAAACATAAACTTACAAAATAATGTTATTTATAGGTTTTTTTGTCAAAATCCCCAAAACTTATTTTCTTTTACTTTATTCATCATAAAAATATATTTGTTTCTATTTAATTTTAATTAACAGTTAGAAAGAAAACACAAAGGTTACATGAATGAAAGCTTGTTTGTAATGCATACATCTTCATCTTCAGCTTGAATGTGAAACAACATGGATGCATGAATCAAAGACAACGAAGGAATGGTTAAAAAACAACATTACAATTTTGTTGTTTTACCAATTAAAGATTGCATATTATAGAAACTAGATTTTTATCCGCGCGTTGCGCAGACTTATTTATATATTGATATTACTATTATATATTAAATTAATATTATTGTGTGTTATATATGTCTTTTATTTTTTGAATATTTTTGTTGTCTTAAAATAAATAAAAAAATATATATATATATATTGTAAATTATTTTTCTAATATAGATTATAATATATTAATTGTTAAAAAATATTTCATATATTTATATACTGCAATAATTATTATATGTGTTTTTGCTGTTTATTTGTATTCAATTGATTTCTCATCTTTTTCTACATCTTATTTTCATAGATCAACAAAGTGACATCATCGATTCTTCTCCATTCTAAACTGAATGTTCTCTTAGTTTTATATCAATTTTCAAAAAATCTAACTCATTTTCAAGAACAATTATTCTTTTATTTGTTATCCCTTTCTTATAGCTCTTAGTCTCGCTATTTTGATTGCAATTTACTGGTTTTTTCTCTTATTTCATGCAAGCTTCCATCTCATTCAGTTCTGTGATCTGTTATTAATCTAAATGAGGAGAGTTTTAGTTAGAATTGGCTAGACAGGGCAAAAGATCTGTTTAATATTACATATGTTTGATGGATTTTCATATCAAAAAATTATGCGTATTTGATAAATTATTGATTTTACTTGATTTGAAGCGTTTTCCTTTTTCAATGATGAACTATCTTACTATATTTGTGAGTGTATGTGAGAATAATTTTGTCTATTTTTATATTATGTGAATGTAAACAACATGACTATGGTATAATCAGTAATCTTGTTTTAGTTTAATTATATATTTTAGATTAAAACTCATATATTATTTGATTGATGAGTGAAATGATCGCATATCAATATTATATTACCATCATTGAGAATAAATGGTTGATAACTATTTGCCATATTTTTCCTCCTTCGTATAAATCAAATTCATTTCTATGCTATATAATTAAACACTTTATTTATGAAAAACTTTCATTCATTTTACACAGTAAAGTGGATATGAATAATATTACTTTAGTTTTAACCATTAATATTTTTGAGCATTTTTAAATAAGTTTGATAACTATTCTTAGCTAGTTCTTCTGTCATCTTTCGTAATTGTTCACTTTTCAACTTTTTTTTCAAATTCTGTTTGTTTATATTCGAAATAACTTTTTAAATTTTTTTATTACAAAGAGAATTTGTAGTTTTTATAGTTTGTAGAATACGTATTTGTTTAATATATATGATTTTACTTTAGCTTTATATATAAATCTTTCTAAGGTTTTTTCTTAAAGTTTGATAATTATTTTCTGTTATTTTTTCTGTAATCTTTTGTATTTGGTTGCCTTCCAAACCCTTTTTCACAAATGAAGAATTTGTAATTTTATGATTTGTAAAATATTTTTTTTTTTGCTTTTAATATCAAATTAATCATATTGAAAGCCCAAAAATAAATACATAAATATAAAAACTTAAAAACAAAACCCAAAATATTTAAAAGTCCATTTTAAAATAAAAAATATGCTGATTTGAACACCTTAGATGCAGAGATGACTTGCTCATTATATATATGATTGGGGTGAAAATGGGTAAATGAATTTCTTAATATTTAATTCTTTTTGGTTTAATTTGACTATTTTATCACAACCAGATTCTTTCTTTCATACATTGCAAACAAACCCTATAAATTTATACACCAACTATTATAAACTAACATCAAAGGCTCAAAATTTCTTACACTCAATTCCAATAAACTAAAGACATTGTTTGTAACAGTAAACGAGGAACAACAAGACCAAGTACACCAAAGCAAGAAATCAAATCAAATCAAAATTTGGGATGAGGTAAACGAAAATATATGGTTAACTAGGTGATCAGCCCGCACTGTGTGCAGACTATAAAAATATTATATATGTTTAATATATGATTAATATTGTATATTGATGATACTCTATTCGTACATGATATATATATATATATATATTTTGATATATTGTTAATTAAACTAAATTGGGTTATACCATCTTTACTTATCCTAAGAGCAGGTAGATGATTGCACTGTAATCGAGGTTAACAAATTTCATGGACGACAAGTTCGTATGAGACTTTGACTTTTGCATAAATAATATTTATATTCATACGCACATTTGTGGAAAAAACGAGTATAGTTTTCATGTGTTAAAAAAATAGCAATGCATATGTTTTGTAATATATATATATATATATGCATGTAAGTATGAGCTAGAAATAAGTGAATTGTAATATTTAGGTGTTGGTTAGTTTTTTTTTATATTTTCCGCAAACGTTTTGTTTTTACACAATACAATTTTCGGCTTTTATCAACAATCACGAAAATCATTTCTTTCGTTTAGTATCAAATTAAAATTTATTATTTTTCAGCAATTTTTATTTTTTGGTAAATTATTTTTCTGCGTTTTGTGATATATAATTTCAAATTAAAAATTAAATCAAATATTAACAAAAATTACAAAAAACTCTAAAATATAAGATTTCACTTTACCATGAAGATAAATATAGTACATTAGATAATCCATTAGTAATTTTCTTTTTCAATAAGAATTATAATAAAAATTTGTTACGAAATTTGTGAAATCATATTTTTATAAAAGTAAGTGTGTATTATAAAATTTGGTATGCACATGTGTTCATTAAAAATAATGCGTCTTTTTAAGATTTTTTTAAATAACTTTGTCAAACAAACTGCGATATTTTTATGAAAAACTAAAACTGTAAAGATTTATGTTTGTTTTTACTTCTTATTTATATTTGTTTCATCTTATTATCATTTATTCTTTCATTCGATTATTTTTATTTCATTTATGATCTTAAATTCCAGATATACAAGGAAAATGTGTATATATATATGAATATGATATAAACTTTTCTTTTTATGTAAAATATGATAAGAAAGAAGATGAGATGGTAACAAAAACTATATAAATTTTTAAAAAATAGCAGTATAAAAAGTGTTAAAATTATATACAAATATATGGTCATATTAATACTATAAAATAGTAATAATTAGTATATACTTTATTCATTTGGCATAATAAGTTATGGTTCGAACAAAAAAATTATTTTAAATTATGTTACTTTTTAAACTTTCAATAAAAGTTAATTATTATTTTATTATTTTTAACTATTTTTATTCTTTAAATTATAGTATCGTGATTTTATTTTATTTTGAATTCTACTATTTAATAATGTATCTAATTAAAACCTTTTTAGATGGTATTATTATAAATTTTCATAAATTAATAACTTTCCAAAATAAGAATATATCATATTTTACACATTATTAATATATATATATAAGATTTACTATCCTATTGGATAATCTAATATTATATATTTTTTCTTTTAATATGAAATTATAATATGTAAATATGTATATGTATTGTAAAATTTTTGTACTAACACTTTATCTAATTATGAATATATGTAAAAAATTAATCATAATAATTATATTTTTTGTTACTTTAAAATTATTTATAATCTGGTGTAATTATGTTTAATTTCAAGTTTCTGTAATTTTAATTCAGCCAATCAAAATATTTCGTTTATTTTAGGAAATTTGACAAATCACATTTACATGTCATCAATACAATACACTAACTTTAATTATGAGTGTGACACATCTGCAATTTTTACTAATTTTACTTCTTAAATAATGTGGGAAGATGAGTAAATTCATAAACTAATGCCTCAGGTTATGACTAGTGATTTTGTTGAAAGAAGATGATAACAAAAAGAAAAAAAAAATGAAAAAAGAGATGATACACCATACAAACAAGGTATTGTAAGATAGACTAATGCACATGAGCTTTGAACATAATAAGAGCACAAGCTCTTCCAACGAGATTCAACTCCGAGATCCACTACTCTACCCAAACGATACAACCATAAGTCTTGTTGGTCTGTTGAAATGTGTGTATATCACAAAGCATTGCCACTTTCTTCTCCTCGTCAACGAAAACACTCTCCCAGATTGAACCCGAAGGCTAGTGAACTTGTTCCACGATACCATCGCATTAGGCTCAATCTTACTCGCAATCTATATCTCCATCTCACATGTAAGTTGTAACAACACCATTGCGCTGATACAACACTGCACGAGGCATAACAATAAGCCGTTACAGTTATAGGCACTTGACGTGATCACATATACGCTTTATAGATTTGATTCCATGGAGACTGACACTCATTAAGCAAACCTTAGGAACTCCTTGACTGCTTCGCCAAGATGCTTCTTTGTAAAGGTTCTAATTAACTGCTCTCAAAGATGTTATCGGAACCCTAAATAGTATCTACACTACCAAATCATGCGGAAGATGGGACATCATCGTCATTGTTTCAAGTTTGTGACGTGAAAGGCAGCAATAGAAATTAGGGTTTTCTAGTTGTCAAGGACGTTGCCCACTCTTTACACTCTTTACTTTTAAATAAACTTGAGCTTAAAAGTAGTCTGTATTATTAGCAAATGCACATAATTAAAAAATATGGACTTTTAGTGTTTACCAATACAATTTAGGAACCAAATTCACAAAATTTAGAATGAGACTCACAAACTTGTCTCCACCAATTGTTTGAAATTAAAATTAAAATTTATGTTTGTTTTATTATTTTAATGTGTTTTTCTACCGACAGTCCCAACGTCAAAGGGACAAGCTTACAGAATCTAATCCTTTAAAACACTAAACACTTAGAACACAAGCCCTCTTCTAGAAACCCCTGCCACATTATTTAAACACAAGCCCTTTTCCATAACCTCTTTATGTACTCTTTCATGTGCCTTTCTGTTTCCTCTCACATTTGTGTGGGCAAGTGAAACTTCTCTTGCTAGATCTTTGAAAAAGCGCACCCTATTATCATATTTCCTATTTATCCTAAACGCATTGTCGTATCTCTATTTTCATCTCTACCATATTGTCATTGCAAATGCTTTAGACCACAAACTGTTCCTCACTTTTGTATTATCACTCAAATTCTCATAAAATTACTCCAGAAAGGATTTCTCAAGAAACAACCTGCACATCCTAATAGGTACAATAAGGTTTCATACTCCGGCCATGGCAGGACAGTCTTGCAGTATATGGCTGATAGACTCATCAAACCCCCCCCCCCCCCCCCCCCCCCCCCCCCCCGGCACACCTGATACTCGAGTCACTTAAATACCTTTTTCTGTCTTTTTATATTAGTCATTATTCCCTGATTTGCAACTAACTAGAGAGACATCGTAACTCGCTTTGGTGCCACAACCTTCCATACCCGGTCAAACATTTTTTACATATTCTGTTTCGGCGAGTAGACAACATTGCGAACTCTCCATCTTGTGTTTCTCCCTAGGCCAATCTGTCTTTGGCTCCTGTGATGTCATCTAAAAATACAGCCGCTAAATACAAGAGAGTATGCATAAAGATATAAGGATCAATTTGATTGATCAACAATCCCATTTCGTTTCTCCATAGATCTCGAGCACTAACATCCAAAAGGTCATCTGCTATTGCTTGTACTACTAACTCCATTAGTGGCACATTTAGTTGTTATTTATCCCTCCCAAACTGGATGTTGCTTCCATCCCTCATCACCCAACGCAGTCCTAGGATTACCATCTCTCTTATTTCTATCCCCACGTTTTTCTATGTTGATGACTAATTACCCTTCACTTGAAGCTATGACCTATCATGAACATCTCAAATTTTATATTTACTACGCAATACTTTTGCCCAGAGACTTGTCTAATTGTTCAGCATTCGCCAACCCAACTTTTCTAGGAGCACCATGTTCATCTCCTTTTCCAATCGAATCCCCATGTCACCTTCTCTTTTCTGTAAACACTCTTTTCCAAGCAAGGAGATGTTGCTTCCTATGTTATGTGGCAGTGGTACTTTCCTATAGGAAGGATCTCAAAACTTTGTCTAAACTTGTACATGTTGAGCTCGGTAATGATTTGGTGTTAAAATCTCAGCTGGATTGTCCGTTGACATGATTCAAACAAGCTGATCTATGTTAATTTTGCTGGTATTCTGTTTGAGTCTTTATGATATACTTTGTCGGAGATATTTTTTTTTTGTTTAACTAGTTTATTAAAATAAAAACGTAACCATGGTTTAGAATACAAGGATGAAGTTTACTCTTTGCCAAAGAGTCGGCTTCTTTGTTTTCTTCTAGAGGAACAAATTCAACAGCAAAAGAGAGAAGAAAAGAGATAGGATTTGGATATCATGAGAGATACCGAAGACTTCTTTGGGCGACGCTTCACCTTTGACTGATTTGATGAGCTTTAAGGAATCAGATATGATCAAAATCTTCCTGAAATTTAGAATCTTTACATGAATGATTGCTGCTTTCATTGCTAGAGCCTCTGCCAGAAGTGGGGATCCAACCGGAGATTGCGAATCAGCACCCGACCAAGATTGGTGCTCAAGATGATGTTTGAAGATCCATCCCAGCCCCACCGATCCATCTTCTGCTCTCTATGCCGTGTCTGTGTAACATATTAATGTATCTGCATTGATCTTCCTTTGCTTTCCGTGTAAGCAGTGTTTCTGGATCTTTGTTTGTGCCTGTTTTTCCTGGGATTGAGAAACTTGCCATTCTTTGGGCTCTCTCATCGCTTTTGATAACGTCTCTTCTGCAGAGATGATCCTGTTGTTGAAAATTCTTTGGTTTCGGGAGCTCCAGATAGACCAGTATATCCAAGGGAAGAGTGGAACTTCAACACCTGATGGAGGCAAGCAGATCCGATTTTGTGCTTCCCCCAGACCATTCACAATGTGTTGAATCTCTGATGAGTTTATTGGTTGATTGTAGGGTGCTTTGCTCCAGACTTTTTTGGCGAAATGGCAGTGGAAAAGCATATGAGTGGTGGATTCTGACTCGGTGCAATGTGGACACGCAAAGAAAGTTTCCAGGATTCTTCTCATAAGATTCTCTCCCACCAGTAGAGCCTCCTGCAGCGCTTTCCAAGTGAAAAGCTTAATTATTTATAAAATGTTTAGGGACCATACCTCAGCATTCCAATTTAGATTTTCCAGCGGTGAAGAATAAATTAGAGAGTTGTCTAGTGCTTCATAATATTATGTTTTTACATTATACATCCCTTTCTCTGTAGGTAGCCAAATATAGCAATCATGCGCTCCCAAAGTGCTGGGTTGTAGTTTAAGAATCTCACTCTCATGTGCAGGAATGTTCTCTCGTATGAGTAGAGTATCCCATCCTGACTTGTCATGAAGGAGGAGATCTGAGACCCGCAACTTTTGCTTTTCAGGAGGGGGTGGTCCCATTGGCATTGTTGGGTGATCTAGTGATAGCCATGGAGAGTGCCAAACAAATGTTAAAGTTATATCACCAATGGCTATCCCAAGCTTCTTCTTCAGCAATTCCTTTCTGATTCATATTCCTCTCTTTATATTATCATTTACTTTTGATATCTAATGCTCTTTGATTAGGACTCTTGAGCCAGACTATATGCTTTATCAAACTAACATCTTCTGTTTTTGATAAACCTTCAGGGATCTAAACCTAGCTCACTAAATGAGGAAATAGCAATTAGTATAGTGAAGAAATTAGACAAAGTTCATAGGATAGTTTTTTGGAGCTCCCTTTTTGGAGCTCCCTTTTTGGAGTTTCCTCTACTAGAAATCTATAGAACTTCTTGTAAGAGATGAGGTTTCACTAGATATTTTTTTTATGAATTTTCAAATGGATCTTGTTTGTCCATCTAAATAGATCATTTGAATAAAAATGAAAAATGATATTTGTTTAATGCTAAAAATGAATATTGTTGGATGATCTATTTGGATGAGTTTTATTAAATTTTGGCTAAATTCATAAACTCATCTAACTGAGCTGAATTAGATAGTCCAAACTGACAAATTACCAAAATAATTTTAACTACAACAAAAATTTATAAGAGAAAAATCTAAAGTGTGAGTAATTGAATGGTTGATTTTAAGAAAATACAAAAGAATTATAAAATAATATATTTTGAAGTAATTTAAATTTTTATTGAAAATTTAAACCAATTCTATTAAAAAAACAGCAAAAATGGTAAAAAATAGGTTTTTGCAAATTTTTTATTGAAATTCTATTAAATTACTTTAAAATGACAATAGCATATGAAAAGAACTAAAATTGAATAACAACAACAATTAATGAAATTAAAAAATTATTAAATTAAATAACATTATAATCTAAAGTAATTTAGAAGAATGACTTTAGATATTAAATCCAATAACACATGAATTTAAAATAAATTTGTGAAATACAATATTGAAAAACACTATAATTTTAATAGAAAGCTTAATTTCTTCTAATTCAGTTAAATTATTTAATTGTTGACAAAAAGGTTAAATTCTTTAATTGGATACCTCCCCCTTAATTTAAGAGGGAGGTATTCAATTAAGGAATTTAATTGAATTAAAAGGAATTAGACTTTCTATTAAATTCTATTGTTATTTAATATTGTAATTCGCAAATTCTTTTAAATTCATGTGTTATTGGATTCAATATTTGAAATCATTCTTTTAAATTACTTTAAATTCTAATGTTATTCAATATAGTGATTTTCTAATTAATTACAATAAAATTTTGTAAAGAATCAATTCTTACCATTTTTACTGTCATTTAGATAGAATTAATTTAAATTCTAAACAAAAACTTTAAATTACTTCAAAATCAATTATTTTCTAATTCTTTTGTATTCTCTTGAAATCAATCCTCCAATACCCCCACCTAAATTGCGACCCTCACTTTCTCCGATTTCTCTTGCCGACACTCACCATCCTCGAGTCTCCGGCGACGAATCACTCTCTCCGACGTTCCGGCGAGTCTCACTGTTTACTTCTCTCCGGCGAGTCTATCACTGCTGCTTCCTTCTCCGACGAAGACGCAGGCGAGCTTCTCTCTCCCTTTTCTTCTTACTTTCTCTTAGCTCTTAGAATTTACTCTTGCGTTTGCTATTTAGTGGATGCTAATGGATTTCCCTGGTGCAGTGTTCTCTGAATTTTCTTGGTGTGTTGTATGATTTAGGTTTATGGGTTTGCTTAGTTATTGTTCTTATCACGGCAACGAAGCTTGTGCTTAACTTAAAAGCTTCATATTTAATGAAGCTTGTGTTTTCAGAACATTGATGTTTGTGAAGTTCTCAAGTTATACAGAAATCATGGTTTGTTGCTTCTTTAGAATCTATACTTTCTACTTGTTGTGTGAAGCTCTTGAGCTTTTGTTCATACAACTTCATAGTCGCTCTTGCATTTTGATATCATGTTCACTAAGCCAACTGTTAAAAGTGTGTTGCTTGGATACTATTACTACCGATTAAGTGTTAACCTTCACACCAATCTCATATAAATACACACATGTATATTCTATGTACACTTCTTAAATCTTCGTGTCCCTGGTTTGATCATGGTAAACATAACCGTCCTGGCTTGATTGTGGGTTATCTGCAATAAGGGAAGGGTTTTAAGTAGCTCTTGCATTTTGTTATCGTGTAGTTGAAAAAGTGAAGATGTGTTCATTCAGTTTCTGGTTTATAGGTGTTGCATAAATCTTAAATAGCCCATTCACACTCATATGTCTATACCTCTGATGGCTGATCTTATTTATGTAAAGCTTCCATGGTCCCAGAGTTTGAACAGTTTTGAATATGGCCAATAGGATTATGGTTTGATTATGTTATAAGATGATTATTTTTGTACATCTCGGACTCCTTTGTAATTATATAGTCAAATACCTTTCGTTATTTAAGCTGCAGATTTTGTGTGACACATGACGTCTAAGTCAAGCTCAGTGATTGAAGATCGAATGGCCGTTGTTGTTAAGCGAGTAGGGGAGGTTAAGGGGTTGGTTCTCAAGAGCCCTCTTTACTGGGAATCTATAGAACTCCTTGCGAGAGACGAGGTTTCACGAGGCATTTTCTACGCACTTCCAGATGGATCTAAGCTGCATTATCTAAAACGAAAGATCGATGCCTCCAACACGGCAGAGAAAGAGCCCGAACCCACTTATGAGACAGGTGGTGGAAGATGGCAATTGTATCATCCTTCCTCTCCTACATCCTGATTCTCCTGTCTATGTCCCTCCCTCCTCTCGTACCTATGATCCTATGTAGAAATTCTGGTGTGATTGTAGTTTGATGTCGTGGAATGTTTCATGTTCAGTGTTTATTTCCTTGTGCCTGAATTTGATGTTGCGTGGATTATGAACTTGGCTTTGGTTTTATAACATGAATGAATTTGTGGTTTTCAGAAATTAGGATTTCTTATGTTTACCCATCAAGATTGCACATTGAAAGATACAGGTCAAACTGAGATTACCAAAAATCCACCATGAATCTAAACACAAACCCGTGACGTTGCTCAATGTGAGGAACTCTTGTGAAGATGGCCATCAGCTCAGGCACAAGCTCCTTGTCATCGTGCTTCCCCACATACCTGTTTAAGAATGTCTTATCAGTACACGCCCAGAACAGACGACATTGGAGTGAGTTCACTTCTATCACCGAGCAATCCTTTGGACATGAGAGCTTCGATTACATTACACCTCGGTACGATCCTCTTCTCCATGCTGTATCCAAACACCTGAGGATGCGAAACCAGAGACTTTAGTGGCCATTTCATCTTCTTCACCAGAAACTCGGTCTTCTTCTTCACCGTCTCTGCAGAAAACCCAATGCACTGAGGATAGCGCTTGATCATCAACGCAAACTTGTCTCTGCTGAATCCTAGGTCTATAAGCGTTTCAACAGAGTTCACTATGTCCTCCTCCGAAATGCGTATGAACTGAGGATTCCTCTTCAACAATGACATGACCTCGTTCTCGAGCAGACCACACCTCTTGAGGGTTTCAAACGTCTGAGTTATCTTCTTCTCCGAGAACTTCAGAGCGAAAGGCCATTTCTTGAACATCTCCCACAGCGAAGCCTAGCCTTCTTCAATCGTTTCGTCGCTCATTTGGTACACAACCTGGAGAGCTTGCACAAACTTTGAGCTCGTTGGATCAAAGCCCTTGGCAACCACTTTCTTGAGGGATGCTTCAAACCTCTCCTTGCCACATACAGGTTGGTAATTTGAGATGAGCAAGTGGAACAACAAACGCTGAGGCACGCCCAAGTCTCTCAAAACCAATACATTTCGGATTTTCTTCTCTAGATTTCGTAGTTTGAACACTTATCGGCTTCGATTACATCTCTCACGAAATCATAGTATTCACTAATGGTTTTTTCCCCTTTCTTTCCCAAGATTTTAGGAACTGTGGAGACAACCTTAGTGAACTCAGAGCTTGAAGCTCCTTTCATTGACTGCAGAAACTTGAGCTTGGGACCAAGTGATTTCTCAGCATCTAACATAAGCAGCCCTGGATAACTCGTAACGATGTCGGAGATCTGTGAATCTGTGAACCCATGACTTCTAAAAAGACCCATAACGGAATCAGGATTGCCCTTTTCCTCAAAGCTGACTTTCCTCGAGATTGATTCTGCGAGTTTTGTAGTGAGACCCAGTGAATCAACCAGGTAAGAGACTGTAAAAGTCTTCCCTTTTCGACCATCTTTATGGCTCACATTGCAGCAGCAGTAGAAGCAGAGGAGAAGGAATTGGAGAATACATTTTGCACAAGCTTCACTGAAACACTTAAAACTACACCATTTCTGTAACCCGATACACATTTTTCCATGGTGTATCAGAGAATACATGATGGCAAGGCAATGAAATTACCGAAAGGAGGAGAAGATAAGCAGAGAACTCCACAGAGTAGAAGCTTCGATGCTCAATCTCATTTCGAGAAAACGATTTGCCCAGGCTTCGTTGCCAAAATCTCAAAACTTCTCCAAATCTCAAGAATCACTCAATGAATGTCTATATAAAAAATCCAAACACAAGAAAAGAAAACACATTTCTGTTAGATTTAGCCCTAAAAGATATCCAAAGTCTCCAAAATCGGAGAGAACCGTGATGGCACCGCACAGGTCCATAAAGTAGCAACAAATCAGATTCGTGTCTGCTTTTTACCTATTCTTCGGCTGTGAGAGGAGCTGATTGGGATTGTTTGTTTTCGTTTCCTTTGTGATGGGTCGGGAAGAGGAGGAACAATCCTGTGTTAACCTGCAATGACATAAACAAAGAACGGTATAAGTCATACTCGTGAAGCTCACACACATATCTATCTATTCACATGTAACGTCAGGGCTGCATTGAGAAGTAATTATGCACATTCACCTCACAGATGCTTTTGATGGAAGATGGTTACAAGAGAGCATGTCCAGAAAGCTTTTGTCTAATCTCCCATCACACAACATATTCCGGACAGAACTTACTGTCGAACATCTCCAACAAGGCGTGCCTTAATCAGCGCATTATACGTATAGTCATCTGGGAGAATCTCGTCTTCTTTCATTTTTCTAAACAAGGCATCTGCTTCCTGCTTTAAGCCTTTCTCACAAAATCCAGAGATCATTGTACTGTAGGTTATAACATCAGGCTTCACTCCTTTGTGGCCGAGGCTACTAAACAAATCCCAAGCTTCTTCCACTTTACCAGCCTTGCACATCCAGTTAATCACTATATTATATGTGAAAATATTGAGTTTCATTTCACTCTTTTGCATATCTTGGAAAATGCCCAGTGCTTTCTCGAGCTTCCCGTTATTACAAAGTCCATCTAACAAAATGCTGTACGTCCAAATATCACGAGGCACGCCACCAGAAACCATCTGTTCGAAAACTTCCTGAGCATTCTCACAGTCGCCAGATTGGAAAAACCCTTTGATAAGAGTGTTGTAAGTGACTGTGTTGCCAAGCAATCCTCTTTGAGACATCCCGCGGAAGAGTTGCATAGCATTTTCTACCTTTTTACACTTGAAAAATGCATTGATAAGAGTATTGTAAGTCACCACGTCTGGGAGACAATCTTTGCTAACCATCAGAGCAAACATCTGCTTCGCCTCCTCTATACGATCTTGCAAACAAAACCCGTTGATCAGTGAATTGTAAGTGATAGTATTAGGAGCTATAGACCTTCGGATCATCTCCTTGTATTATTCTTCGGCCTCCAAAAGCTTCCCCTCTTTCACAAACGCATCGATCAATGCAGCGAAAGTGACAACATCGGGGTTGATTCTCCTCTCGATCATATCGCTTAGTAGTCGAGAGGCATCGTTCCATCTTCCATAATTACAAAGGCAGCTTATGAGAGAATTGTAGGTGAAAACATCAGGTCTAATCCCTTTCTTCTCCATTTCACTGAATAGCTCGAGTGCATCATCCACATGTCTGTGTTTGCAGAGACCATCAATAATTGTATTGTAGATCAAAACATCCGCCTCTATCTTCTCTTTCTCCATATTCTTGAGCAGAGTCAGAGCCAAATCAGTATGACCTCTCTTACATACTCCATTTACCACAACACAGTAAGTAATCAGATCTGGTTGACACCCATTCACAACCATCCGTTCAACTAACGCCACAGCTTCTGAGACTTTGTTGTTGAGAAAAAGCCCATGGATCAGAGTGTTGAATGTGACGGTATCAGGTTTACATCCAATTTCCACCATTTGATCAACCAAAGCTACGGCATCAGAGATCCTCTTCCCGTGACAGAAACCATTGAGCAGCGAAGAAAGCGTGACTGTATCAGGCTCATAGCCAAGTTTCATCATCTTCCCAAGGGTAGCTAAAGCGAGAGAGAGCAGAGAGGAGCGGCACAAACAGTTTATGAAAATATTGAATGTATAGAGATCATGTGAAATCCCAAACTTTTGCATCTGCTCGCCCATAGAGATGACAACATCGTACTTCTTCATCTTGGCGATGGCGCTCAACAACTTATTGAAATCAATAATGGAAGGGCGTGGACGAGACTCAACCATCTCACTGAACAGATCAACTGCATCTTCTAACTTAATATCACGAAGCCCATTTCTCAATGTCTCTCTGCAACCATCACTGAGACCTGAGAAAGCTCGTTCCAAGCTACGGAGACCGCAAAGGGAGACCGGAGAAGGAGAAGTTCCAGGATTACCTTTCCCCTGGAGATGGAGATGGAGATGGAGATGGAGATGGAGATGGAGATTCCGATGAACAAATCCCCTGGCCGTACACGCAATCGCAAACCTCATCTTCTTCGATTTGGCTCTGTAGACAAACCCCTAAAGGAGAGAGAGACTGGAAGAGTGTCTCTGTGTCAGTGTGAGTCCGGTCTAGTAATCCTTTTAATTTTGTTGGCCTATTGGTGGTTATACCCGGTTTGCATTTTTTCAATCATTTTATTTCCCCTGATTAATTTTATTCTGACTGGTTTAGTGACTCAATGTGAATGAATGAACCGGTTTAATTGAAACACCCCGGTCTGAATGAACAAGAACATTTTTCTTTATGAATCAAGAAGTTCCCATTACATTTCTGAAAAAATGCAGTTTGCAACATACAGGAAACCATAGCAGTTTAGTAAATCATATCAATCGAAGAACTCAAGAGCTTCATTGCGTCATTAAAATCCATATCTGCAGTTACAAAGCCAAAAAGAAGAATAAAGAATATCAAACTGCGACTACAAAAGCCTAAAGTTGGGGTTTTTCAGAGATTCATAAATAAAAGAAACATCAAAGTCTTATCATCTATGAAGAACAGTCTCTGGTGAAGATAGCCATTAACTCAGCCACAAGCTCATTGTCATCATGATTCCTCACAAACCTGTTCAAAAAATCCTCATCGGTACATACCAAGACAGATTCGTTTTCAGGTAGCTTCCTGTCTCTGTCTCCGAGCAATCCTTTGGACAAGAGAGCTTTTAAAACATTACACCTTGGTACAATCCTCTTCTCCATGCTGTATCCAAGAACCTGAGGGTGCGAAGCCACGGCCTTTAGTGGCCATCTCATCTTCTTCACCCGAAACTTATTCTTCTTCTTCACCAGAAACTTGGTCTTCTTCTTCACCGTCTCTGTAGATATATCAAGACATTGAGGAAAGCGCTTAACCATCATAACAATCTCCTCTTTGCTGAATCCGAGGCATAGAAACGTTTCAATGGAATTGGTTATCTTCTGCTCCGAATAACCAATGAATTCAGGAGATTTCTTGAACACTGAGAGGATCTCGTCTTCTTCGAGCACTCCACATTTCTTCAAAAATTCAAACCTCTGAGCTATATTCTTCACCGATAATCTCAGCGAGACTGGACACTTCTTGAACATCTCCCATACATCTCCCACGGAAAAGCCTAACCTTTTATAGAAATTGACTTTCTCTTCTATAGCTTTCTCGCTCAATCCTTGAACAGCGCTTAGAGCTTCCACAAACTTTGAGGTTGTGGGATCGAAACCCATCTCAACAACCTTCTTGAGTGTTTCTTCAAATCTTTCTTTTCCAGAGACGAGTTTGCGATCGGAGACGAGCAAAGGGAGTAACAGCCTCTGAGGAACTCCCATTTCTCTCAAAACCGAGACGTTTCTGATTTTGTTATCCTGCAGACCCTGAGGCATTGAATGACATAGCTTTTCGAACTTGGAGCTCTTATCCGCTTTGATAATCTCCTTGACGAAATCATAGTATCTGCTGATAGCTTTGTCTCCTTTCATTCCCAAGATTTTAGGAACTTTTGAAACAGTCTCAGTGATCTCAGAGCTTGAAGAAGACCCTTTCTTTGAAAGCAGTAACTGAAGCTTGGGACCAAGAGACTTCTCAGCGTCTAGTAGAAGCAGTCGTGGATAGTTCGTAACGATGGTGGAGATCTGAGAATCTGTGAATCCATGGCTTCTGAAAAGACTCAGAACGGAGTCAGGGTTACTCTTTTCCCCGAAGCTGACTTTCCTTGAGATCTATTCCGCGAGCGTTGCAGTGAAACCCAATGAATCAACGATGTGAGCTATTTTATCTTGGGCCAGCTCTTAGTGGGCTCGATATCAAAGAAGGTAAAGGAGGTGAGAGGTAAATGGGTTGTGAAAGCTGAAGCCCATCTCGCTGTACATAAGAAGAGAACGAAGTCTGTTTTGTGATTCTGAGATAGAAACAAAACAGAGGAGATAAAGAAGAGAAATTCACCTAGATTCTCTTGAGCGTTATCATCTCCGGATATGTAGTTCTCATCTTAGAGATATAGTTTACACCAGCAGCTATATATAGCTCCATTGAGAACCTTCTTTAGAGAGAGCAAGCAAGAAAACTTGTAACAAAAGAGAAAATAAACTCTGTTATTCTTTTGATATAGTGCATCACTTGAGAGTTTTTTGATCTCTCCCCAGAGGTACCGAAAGGGAACTGGGTTAACAATTTCCTGTGTCCTTTTTTTTTTTCTTAACTCAAACCAATCGATACTTAGCAAACTTAACAATCAACGATCAATCAAAGGCAAATTCCGTAACAAGTGGTATCAGAACTGCAGGGTCAGCAGGAAGGGGAGTGCGGTCAAGCATCCAAGTCTGCGTGCAGCTGGGACCGATCGGATTGTGGTGTTCAAGTTAAGTATCGTAGAGTGACAACACGGGGAGGAGTTATGGATCCTGTCCAGAAGTTTGAGATGGAAAAATTTGATGGGAAAGGTGATTTTGGTATGTGGAAGTTCAAGATGCTAATGCAACTGGAATTGCAAGGTCTCGGGAGCATCATCCAAGAAGTCACCGGAGCTACTCCATCAAAAGGTAAAGGAATCGGGATAGTAACTCCCGAGACAAAACCTGCAGCTGTTCTTTCAGAGGAGGTCAAGAAGGAAAGAGATGTGAGAGCCAAGAACATGATATGCTCTAGTCTCACAAATATGGTTCTTAGAAAGGTCATGAAAGAGCCTACTGCTGCAGATGTATGGAAAGCTCTCGAAAGAGATTACCAAACAAAGATTCTACCAAATAGGGTCTACCTAAAACAACGGTTTGCTAGCTTCAAGATGGAAGAACACAAGAGTATAGACGAAAATATGGATGTGTTTCTGCGGCTAATAGATGATTTAGAAAGCCTTGAAATCAAGGTGACGGATGAAGATCAGGCTGTACAAGTTTTATCAGGATTACCGAAGGCATACGCTACATTGGTACACACCTTGAAGTACGGGAAACGTGATGAACCGTTGTCACTACAAGAAGTTGTCACCTCTGCAACAGCCAAGGAGATTGAGCTGCGTGAAGCTGGGCTCTCAGGGAAATCCAGAAGCGAAGGAGAAGGACTCTATGCTGGTAAAGGAAAAACCGAGAAGAAATATGAGTCTTACTCTAAGGGAAAAGGAAAGAGTAAAGACAAATCAAAGTTCAAACCGAAAAGCCAAGGAAAGGCAAGAGAATGTTGGACTTGCGGCAAAGAAGGTCACTACAAACGAGACTGTCCAGAGAGAAAGGCGAATGCAGCTAATATCGCTAAGGATAATGAGCCTATGGTCTTAACTGCAAGTGTACAAGACCCAAAAGATGAGTGGGTCATGGATTCAGGGTGTACATTCCACATCACGCCAAATAAAGAAGTATTGTTTGACTTTCAAGAAGTCGAAGGAGGCAAAGTGCTGATGGGAAATAACACGTTCAGTGAGGTCAAAGACATCGGTAAACTGAAGATTATGAATCCAGATGGGTCGGCTGTGGTCTTGACGGATGTCAGATATATGCCAACCATGAGCAGAAACCTGATATCATACGACCAACTAGAGAAGAATGGCTGCAAATATCAGGGAGAAGATTTTGTGGTAAAATTCTACAAGGACGGAAAAGGAGTTATCTCCGGGGAGTATAAAGACGGACTGTACTACTTGGTGGGATCGTAGAAAGGGGAGTAGCGGCTGTAGCAAGACCAAACATTGACACAACAAAGAGATGGCATTCAAGGTTGGGTCACATGAGTTTGAAGTGCATGAATGTCCTCGTTAAAGGAGGATATCTGAATAACAAGGAAGTTCAAACACTTGATTTCTGCGAAGAATGTGTTTTGGGAAAGTCTCAAAGACAGAGTTTTCCAAAAGGCAAACACACATCTACTGGAGCACTGGAATACATTCATTCGGACCTTTGGGGTTCACCAGGAATGGAAGAAAGTCTTTCAGGTTGCAAGTACTTCATCACCTTCATCGACGATTACTCACGAAAGGTGTGGATCAGATTTCTTAAAACTAAAGATGAAGCGTTTCAAAGCTTTAAAGAGTGGAAACAGTTAGTGGAAAATCAGAAAGAGAAGAAGGTGAAGTGTCTTAGAACAGACAATGGGCTTGAATTTTGCAACAACCAGTTTGACGATCTATGTAAGTCTCCAGGAATCACAAGACACAAGATGTGTTCCTACACCCCACAGCAGAACGGGATCTCTGAGAAGATGAATCGCACCATCATGAACAAAGTAAGATGCATGTTGGCGGAGACAGGATTTGGAAAGCAGTTCTGGGCTGAAGCTGCTTCTACGGCCGTGTACTTGATTAACAGATCTCCCACGTCAGCGTTGGAGTTTAAAATTCCAGAAGAGCTGTGGTCTGGCGGTAAGATCAGTTACGATCATCTGAGAAGATTTGACAGCGTAGCTTATGTTCACGTTACACAAGATAAAGTAAGTCCTAGAGCTGTAAAAGGATACTTCATGGGTTACCTTCAAGGAGTTAAAGGTTACAGAATTTGGATTCCAGAACAGGGGAAGTGCATTACAAACAGAAATGTGGTGTTTCACGAAGAACTAGTGTTCAAAGACAGGGCTCAAGAAAAATCTAGAAAGCTTAAGAAGGGAAATACAATCATCTTCGAACTTGGTCAGAAAAACAGTAATATCAGGTCAGGTGGAGCAACGTCTGGATCAGATGAATCCTCGTCAGGGTCTGGTGGAGCTTCATCCGAAGAAGAGAATTCAGAGTCAGAACAAGAGGTGGAACATGAGTTATCTGTGCAACGTGATCAGGAACAAAGTCAAGAAAATGCCGAACAGACTCTCGATGAGTATATTCTGATGAGGGATAAAGAATCTCGACTCAAGAAGAAATCATTGATATACACGTGTGGAGATTACGTGACATATGCACTAGTATGTGCTCAGAACATTGAAATTGATGAGCCAAGGACCGTCGCTGAAGCTATGAGAAGCATATACTGGGAGGAGTGGAAACAAGCTATGAAAGAAGAAATGGATTCCCTGTACAAGAACGGTACTTGGGAAGTCGTTCCTAAGCCAAACAGGAAGAAAATTGTAGGCTGCAAATGGATTTTCAAATACAAAGAAGGAATTCCTGGAGTAGAATTACCAAGATTCAAGGCTCGATTGGTAGCTAAGGGATTCACACAAATTGAAGGAATAGACTACAATGAAATCTTCTCTCCAGTGGTTAAGCATGTTTCGATCAGGATTTTGTTATCTGTTGTGGTTAATTTTGATCTGGAGTTGGAACAGCTGGACGTTAAAACAGCATTTCTTCATGGATCACTAGATGAGGAAATCTATATGAACCAACCAGAAGGGTTCATAGAGAAAGGAAAAGGTTCAGAGGTGTGTTTGCTGAAGAAGTCACTGTATGGATTGAAGCAGTCGCCTAGGCAGTGGAATCATCGGTTTGATGAATTCATGAAGGCTCAAGGTTTCACACAGAGCAAACATGATACATGTGTGTACTATATCGGAACCACAATTGAGGATATGATATATCTTCTCCTATATGTCGATGATATGTTGGTAGCAGCTAAGGATCCGAAGAAGATTCAGAACTTAAAGAAAAATTTGATGAAAGAATTTGAGATGAAGGATCTAGGTCCTGCGACCAGAATCCTAGGAATGGATATCATCAAAGACAGAAAAAGAGGAGTTATCAAGCTATCTCAGGAAAAGTATTTGAGACAGGTTCTGAAAACGTTCAACATGGAAGGAGCTAAGGCAGTAATAACACCAACGAGTTCTTAGTTTAAGCTAAGGAGGCTTTCAGAAGAAGAGGTGTTATCAGAAGCTGAATATATGGATAAGGTGCCATATGCAAGCGCAGTAGGCAGTCTGATGTATGCCATGATTGGTTCTCGACCGGATTTGGGTTTTGCTATATGCCTAGTTAGCAGATTTATGGCTCAGCCAGGAAGAGTTCATTGGGCAGCAGTCAGGTGGGTTTTGAAATATATTACAGGAGCTTTGGACCTTTGTCTAACTTTCACTAAGCAGGAGAAGTTTGATATAGTCGGGTTTAGCGACTCAGATTATGCTACTGATTTAGACAGGCGCAGATCAGTTTCAGCTTATGTGTTTCAAGTTGGAGGGAATACTGTAAGCTGGAGAGCACAGTTACAGCCAGTGGTGGCTTTATCAACCACGGAGGCTGAGTACATAGCTCTCACAGAAGCAGCAAAAGAAGGGATTTGGCTTACAGGAATTTGTGGAGAATTGGGGTTTAAGTCTGAGTGTTTTAGTCTACACTGCGATTCACAAAGTGCGATATGTCTAGCTAAAGATGCAGTTCATCATAACAGGACTAAGCACATCGACACTAAGTACCATTTCATCAGAGATCTAGTGAACGATGGATCTACCAACCTACAGAAGATTCACACTAGCCTAAATCCAGCTGACTTTCTAACAAAGAGCGTACCTGGCAAATGCTTTGAGCAGTGCCTCGCCACGCTCAAAATCATCCACTGATCCAGGGTCGAAGAAGGTCGAGATACTCCCGTCGATTGATTATCTCGCACCAGAGACATAAAAGAAGAGCGGTGTTAGTTCTTCAGAAGGTGAAATCGACAAAAGACATTCTTCATGTATCCGGTCAAGTAAGGAAGAATGAGAAATTGAAATCTGAAGCAGAAGCGTGGGTGTTAAATTGGTTACCTTAAGAGATACAGGTCCAATTTCTCCCGGATTCCCTCAATTAAACTGAAAGGTGATGAAGAGGTTTAGCTTTGGTAAAGCTTGAGGTTTTATAAAATCAACGAGAGTAAGATTTGAAGAAATCGGTTTACCTCTCATGCGATTCAAGTCGTTGGCGAAGACGACTACAGCGGCGGCCGGCGGTAAAGTCGGATTCTCGCCGGAAAGAGAGATCGAGCTAATGAAGCATTCGACGGAGAAGTCGAAGTCGTGGTTCTGTCGGAAAAATGGGAGTGACCCATCGACAAATGTGGAGTTTGTGAGCTATTTTATCTTGGGCCAGCTCTTAGTGGGCTCGATATCAAAGAAGGCAAAGGAGGCAAGAGGTAAATGGGTTGTGAAAGCTGAAGCCCATCTCGCTGTACATAAGAAGAGAACGAAGTCTGTTTTGTGATTCTGAGATAGAAACAAAACAGAGGAGATAAAGAAGAGAGATTCACCTAGATTCTCTTGAGCGTTATCATCTCCGGATATGTAGTTCTCATCTTAGAGATATAGCTTACACCAGCAGCTATATATAGCTCCATTGAGAACCTTCTTTAGAGAGAGCAAGCAAGAAAACCTGTAACAAAAGAGAAAATAAACTCTGTTATTCTTTTGATATAGTGCATCACTTGAGAGTTTTTTGATCTCTCCCCAGAGGTACCGAAAGAGAACTGGGTTAACAATTTTCTGTGTCCTTTTTTTTTTTTCTTAACTCAAACCAATCGATACTTAGCAAACTTAACAATCAACGATCAATCAAAGGCAAATTCCGTAACAAACGAGGTAACAGAAAGTGAAAAACTGCCCTTTTCGACCATCTTTAGCAGTAGCAGAAGAGAAAGAATTGGGTAAAGAAATTGCATTTTGTACGGGAACGCTCAAATTACGCCATTTCTGCAACTCAAGAGACCTTCTTCGTCCATGGAGTATCAGAGTATACATGACCAAAGGGAATTCAATTCGAGAAAATGAATGAAAAGTCTCTCGAACTTACTAGTGCAAGCAAAAGATAAAGCTTGGTCGACTTAGGGTTTAGGTGCAAAATCCTTATTTCCTCTACTTTTGACTCTTCATTTAAATTTTTAAAAGAAAAAACAAATTCAATAATTGTAAGATTATAACAATTGTAACAATAGACAAAACGACATCGCTTCTTATATGCATTTTTTTAATGAAGCACATATGCATAGCTCTCTCCAAACCGTTTTCAAATGCCTTGGTACTATCCGAGACAATGTACCATAAGCTCACAAGAATATGTAAACAAGTGTAGAACAAACACATTCCACAAATCGGATGAATCATATGATCCGAGTATAAAGCAACGAAAGAGTGAGATTGTGAAGTATATCATAAATGAATTTTCATATCAACAACTGTGATTTAATTTTTTTTAAATATTCCAATCCCAAAACTTTATTGAATTTGGTGACACTAAAGCTTCTCAGGGAACAAAAGATCAAATACTACTCAAGGAATGAAAAAGACTTACATGACCAATTCAACTATTCAAAAACTCAGGAGCTGCATTGCATCATTCAAAACCATATATCTGCAGTTCAAAAGCTTGAAATCTTCGGCTCCGATTGGTAACACAATAAAACTGTAGAATTGCACAAAAAAAGAAAAAATTAAGCTGCGGAATGACGGAATGCAGAATAGCGAAATAATAAATGATATGATTAGATAAATTATGCGGAATGGTGAAATGCTGGAATGACAAAAAATATACAAAATTACGAATGCAAATAAAAATACTGATGGAGGTTGGATAAGATAAAAGTTGATTTTTAAGTTTCTTAATAAAGTGCATCCCACGAGAACCTTTGAGGAACGCACAAATCTCTAAAAACCGATACCTTTTATGATTTTGTTCTCACGTGGCAAAGAAGAATGACAAAACTTTTCGAACTCGGAACTCTTATCGGCTTCTAATGTCCCTGACAAAATCCTTAGTATACGCTGGTAGCTTTGTCCTTCTTGATTCCCAAGATTTTTGAAAGAATCTCAGTGAGCTCAAGAGCTTGAACCTCTCTCTGGCCTGCAGGAACTTAAGCTTGTGGGCAAGTGATTTATCAGCATCATCTGATTTCCAGCATCATTACATATTATCCACAATTGCAGAGTTTCTGCAAGTGCAAAGACCTTCTTCCATCGAGAATTAGAGAATATGTAACAGGATAAACCGGTTATAAACCCGGTTTAGTTATCTAACTTCTCTTATTGCTGATTTATCTAGCTCATTTATGTAAACCGGTTTGTTTAAACCATTAGCAACGCTTTATGTAGGCTTAGGCCAGTTTACGAAGAATCAATCAGAGAATCTTTTCCTCTTTCGTCATCTTCTCTCTCTCTAAATTCACATCATCATATTTATTCATCATCATCTACGAATCCAGATTTCTTAGAGATGATCTTTCTCTTTCTTTGATCATCTCCTAGTGCTGTGATTCTCCATTCTTAGAGCTCACGGAGAGCTCATAGTCTGGGATTATATCTCATAAGATTTCATCTGTCTCATTAGTATCAGAGCATCGAGCTCTCGGACCCAAAAAAAAAAATGGCAAACCTGAGCAAAGAACAATACGAAGCTCTCCGTGAGATGCTCAATATATGTAGAGAAGCGAGACAACTTTTGAAGAAGAGCTGGGTTAACGAAGATCGGGTCAAAACTATGGTGAATCCCAATATAATTGTTGAAGCTATGGCAAATCCAGAACCCAGAAAATCATCGCCCATGTTTCCGAAGACACTACCAGTGTCCCCTCAACCACCTGACCCTCCAGATTTCAACGGTTCTGGGCATACTTCGCCTCATCGGAAGTTTTCCTGCGAACAGGTATATGAGAGAATGGAAAATGGATTGTGTTTGTTTTGTGAGGAGCTTGATACTCCTGGTCATCATGTGCAACACAAGCGATCACGGATCTTCATGATAGATCGTGAAGATGATCAACTCATTCATGAAAACGGGTTGGCAACTGCTGCTGAAACAGAATCTTCAATTCATGTCGAATCATTGGAATGTGTCTCAGTTTTTAAGGATTCCATTGATTTGAATCGGGAAGGAGATAAAGCGAAAATTATGGCAGAAGAAAAGCTGCCTCTGGAGCAAAACAACGAACACTTGGAGCGCAAACAGTCCCAAGAGGTCTCTGCTGAATTCAGGTCTCAAATTGATTTTTCGTTTGTAGATGAATATCATGAGGATTCAGCAACGTTGATCAAACCATCAGACGATGTCAAGCTCTCCTTCTTACAGAAGCACACTTGTTCTCACAAACGTATTCTCTCCTTCTCGGCTAGAGTTTGTATTGTTTGTATTGAAGAGGAACGCTCATATCGCCTATCTCAGGATCATCGTGTATGGGAACCCGGTTTACAAATAAATAAAAATGAAGGGATTGGGCTACAAACCTATGGCTATGAGTATAAGAAGCAGATGTTGCTACTTGTTAAAGAGTCCAATCGTGTGTGGGAGCGTGGCGGATTACTAGTTATACAGAATTACTGGAAGTGGTTAGAGAGCGGCTACAAATGTAACGAAGTTCTTAAGGGTTGTGCTCCGTTCGAAATGTCCTTTGTTGAGTCTGTTGGTTTAAAGGCTTTTGACAGAAAGAGGAGTAACCAAAGTCTTTATCTAGAAGACGAACCAGGGAATGAACAAGAGCAAAAAGAGGTATCGAAACTCATTTCATCCTGCAATAACCGAGTGTGGGAACCTGGTGGAATGTTGATTGGAAAAAATATATGGGAATGGTTAGAGAAGATTCACAAACGTTATGGACTTTTATGGTTGCTGCAAAGGATTCATAAGATGAGTCTCCATTGGGTCAAGTATCATCGCATACAGATGGAGTTTTCATGGTTTAAGCAGCTTCACGAGATGACTTTACAGAAAAACCCAAACAATGTGGTTCTGCCGGCAGCGAAAACTCAAGGTTGCATAGTGAATGCAGAGCTTCAGATTCAGGTATCTTCTGATCTTGATTTAGAAGCATGGATTGTGCTAGAAATCTATGGTTGTAAGTATATGAAGTTGGTGCTGCTGCTTGTTAAAGCGTCAAATTGTGTGTGGGAGCGTGGAGGATTACTAGACACACATGTTCACTGGAAGTTGTTTAGGAACTTGTACAAACATGATGGAGCTCTGAATACAAGGTCTATGCTGCTTTACTTTGTTGATGATGGAAGAATGAGCTTTGAAGGGTTACAAAGTTACTGTTTGCTGGATTTTACGTCTGAGCATCATTATTCGCTGATCGTACATGAATATCAAGAGAGGCAGATCACACAAGAGCTAGTGCAAGTTGATCTGAACTGCTAGTTCAGGCTTGTTCCATATTTCGCTTTCAGACCAGGCTTTAAAGTTGCTCGAGACTGGCTGATTGTTTTTGAGCAGAACAAAGCCACTCCTAACTTCTTCAAGACACTTGAATGCATACATACATTGTGCTTCTGGCCAGGGGGATCTCCGCAATCATACTTAGCTACCATTCTCAAGGCTTCCCAACATTCAGTTTTTACAGAAAGCTTCAGGATTAAAACATCATGGCAGAGTGTTGAAAACAAGATTTCACGAACTGCTTCTCATGTGTATCATCGTTGGAAAAACAAAGCTGGGAAATGGCAGGCAGTTTCAGATAAGGGTAAATATAGAAGTGTTGAAGTCGCTGGAACAACACCCTGTTTTGCACAACCTATAAGACCCCAACAACTTAAGACAATGTTGATGTTGCGTTTATTGCTTCAACAATTTTATGAGAGCCTGCTCGATTGTGTGACACTTCAAAGTGTGCTGTTTGGATTACTATCTGGAGTTTGTGTTACAAGAACCTTCAAGCAATATCGCAGCTTTAAGCATTGCAACAATGGTCTATTCCACCATCTCAAGGACAAGGGGTTCATTCAAGGTTACATTATTCCTTCCCTGTCTCAGTATTTACATGAGAATTCCACCAATGCTACTATCACCAAGGTTATTGTTCCGTGGAAATGGCATCCTCCAGAACAGTTTTATCAGGTTTTCGATGGGAAACTATTCAATTTATCATCCTTGAGGACAAGGATCTGCTGAAGAGGGGAGTATTGTAACAGGATAAACCGGTTATAAACCCGGTTTAGTTATCTAATTTCTCTTATTGCTGATTTATCTAGCTCATTTATGTAAACCGGTTTGTTTAAACCATTAGCAACATTTAATGTAGGCTTAGACCAGTTTACGAAGAATCAATCAGAGAATCTTTTCCTCTTTCGTCATCTTCTCTCTTTCTAAATTCACATCATCATATTTATTCATCATCATCTACGGATCCAGATTTCTTAGAGATGATCCTTCTCTTTCTTTGATCATCTCCTAGTGCTGTGATTCTCCATTCTTAGAGCTCACGGAGAGCTCCTAGTCTGGGATTATATCTCATAAGATTTCATCTGTCTCAGAATACATGAACCACAATGCTGAAAACGATCATTCTGATTCAATTCAGGTAAAGGAATCGCCTAGATCTCGAGGATAAGTCTCAAAATTCCAAACTTACAGGTGACTCATAGATCCAGTGGAAGCAAAGATTTTGACTATTCAAGTTTCGGCTTCTCTGTTCATTTTTGACTGGTGAGCTCTGAAATCGCAAATAACTATAAAACTAGAGGAAGAAAAGAAAAACCCAAATCAAGCCATTTATGTTGCTTTAGCGACTTTCTTCCATGGAGAACCAGAGAAGAACAATAAACTCACTTACCGATCATTCTGCAATGGCTTGATTTGGGTCGAACGCCAAAAATAGGGTTAAAAAAACATTATTCCGCTGCTAGAGGTCGAACCCGGAATTCAAAGCGCTCAATGAAAGAAGTATGTTAAATTTAACACTGTAGCAGAAGGGTTACTATTAGTTATGTGAAATTTTATTTATTAATTAAATATAAATTCAAATAAGCATTTATATCACTTCAAATAAACATTGGTATAAAAAAAATCTGCATGTATTTTTAGCAAAATATTCTTTATTAAAATAATATAGCTTTTTTTGTTTTGTTTTTTTTGCTAAAATGATTTTTAGTATCAACAAC